CAGGAACACTTCCACCCAGTGATTACCTTCACATACAGGAACACCTCCACCCAGTGATTACCTTCACATACAGGAACACTTCCACTCAGTGATTACCTTCACATACGGGAACACTTCCACCCAGTGGTTACCTTCACATACAGGAACACCTCCACCCATTGATTACCTTCACATACAGGAACATTTCCACTCAGTGATTACCTTCACATACAGGAACACTTCCAACCAGTGATTACCTTCATAAACAGGAACACTTCCACCCATTGATTACCGTCACATACAGGAACACTTCCACCCAGTGGTTACCTTCACATAGAGGAACACCTCACCCAGCGATTACCTTCACATACAGGAACACTTCCACCCAGTGGTTACCTTCACATGGAGGAACACCTCCACCCAGTGATAACCTTCACATACAGGAACACCTCCACCCAGTGGTTACCTTCACATACAGGAACACCTCCACCCAGTGATTACCTTCACATACAGGAACACTTCTACCAAGTGATTACCTTCACATACAGGAACACTTCCACCCAGTGATTACCTTCACATACAGGAACACTTCCACCCAGTGGTTACCTTCACATAGAGGAACACCTCACCCAGCGATTACCTTCACATACAGGAACACCTCCACCCAGCGGTTACCTTCACATACAGGAACACCTCCACCCAGTGATTACCTTCACATACAGGAACACTTCCACCCAGTGGTTACCTTCACATACAGGAACACCTCCACCCAGTGATTACCTTCACATACAGGAACACTTCCACCCAGTGGTTACCTTCACATACAGGAACACTTCCACCCAGTGGTTACCTTCACATACAGGAACACTTCCACCCAGTGATTACCTTCACATACAGGAACACCTCCACCCAGTGATTACCTTCACATACAGGAACACTTCCACCCAGTGGTTACCTTCACATACAGGAACACCTCCACCCAGTGATTACCTTCACATACAGGAACACTTCCACCCAGTGGTTACCTTCACATACAGGAACACTTCAACCCAGTGGTTACCTTCACATACAGGAACACTTCCACCCAGTGATTACCTTCACATACAGGAACACCTCCACCCAGTGATTACCTTCACATACAGGAACACTTCCACCCAGTGGTTACCTTCACATACAGGAACACCTCCACCCAGTGATTACCTTCACATACAGGAACACTTCCACCCAGTGGTTACCTTCACATACAGGAACACTTCAACCCAGTGGTTACCTTCACATACAGGAACACTTCCACCTAGTGATTACCTTCACATACAGGAACACCTCCACCCAGTGATTACCTTCACATACAGGAACACTTCCACACAGCGATTACCTTCACATACAGGAACACTTCAACCCAGTGATTACCTTCACATACAGGAACACTTCAACCCAGTGATTACCTTCACATACAGAAACACTTCCACCCAGTTACTAGTTATATTTGTTACACATTGGGATATACACGTTAACGTTGTTTGATTAATTCATTTCATTCGGCTAATGCATGCTTAATATAAAGAGAAAAACTTAATATATTTGATTCGTTCTTTGTCGTCAGCATAACTACAAAGGCGTTTATCGGTGACATTGCTATTAAATAATCTTTTATATATTTCTTTCGGAGATCATTGTAAAATGGACAGACAAACACAAAATGAATTTCATTTTCTATCTCTAGATTACACAATGGACAAATTCTTTTCATTTTTTCAATGGACAGTTTTCTTCCTTCATTTACAAATACATGTAGGTCTAGCAAACCAAGTCGCTATTTAATTAACTGTTTTCTTAAGTTTTCCGTAGTGAGTACTGATAAATTTATTTCTGGTTGAAGTAAAGTCTTGAAAGTTTTGTAATATTCATAACGTGAACTATGCTCTAAAGTGGAGTGCCATTCTTGGTAGAACATATTTATAGACCGATTCCGAAATTCATTAAGAAACATATTTACATTTCCAACTGACTCACATAGCCATATAAAACCAAAACCATGCGAAAATAAAAGATTTGTTATATGCGATGTCCAAGTATTCTTTCCCATGTTATCTAAATGTAGAAGCATGTTATAAGCTAATTTGGGGAGACGTTGTTCATGCATATGAAGAATTTTAAACCAGTATTTTAAACATCTGATCTGAGAATTAATATATAATGGGTATCTACCACATTCACCATAAACCATGCAATTTGGTGTAGAAGATCCAACACAAAGAAACTTTTTACATGCTAATAAATGAACCTTCTCTAAACAGTCATAACGTTGAAATCCCCATACTTCAGAACCATACAATAAAATTGGTTGTATCTTGGTATCAAGAAGCTTAAAGAAAATATTAGGTAACATCGATCCCACTTTATGAGAAATAGACATTACACTTATTAAAGCTTTCTTTGGGACAAGTCAAGTCAAGGACAAGTCAAGGGCACATTTTTTCTAATTCATTGTGTGTGAGAACCAGATTCCTAAATATGAGTAGTGATCTACTATATTGACTAACTGACCATCGAATGACCATCTCTCTTTCGACGTTATTGGACCACCTTTTCTGAAGATCACAATTTTAGTTTTTCCAAGTTTATTGATAATTTCCATTCTTTGGTGTACGTACTTAAAATATTTAATTGCCTTTGAAGACCAATAACAGTATCTGACACTAGAATGACATCATCTGCGAAAAGTAGCATTAATATTTCTATCCAATCTGGGAACATTTGGATACCATGTTTACTACTGGCAGCTATTTCGTAATATAATTCATCAATGAAAAATGAAAATAAGATCGGACTCAAAATATAGGCCCAAAGGACAATCAAAGAAATCTGTTAAACTATCCCCACAACGAACACATGGTCTCACATTAGAATACATTGATTTTATAATAGTAAACATTTTCCCACGTAAACCAGCTTTTCGTAGACCCACCCATAGCTTAAAGCCATTGACAGAATGAAAAGCCTTTTTAAAATCTACAAATGCTACATACAGTTTATGCTTACGCCGTGACAAGGTTTTTTGAATAAGTGCATAAAGTGTAAATACATGATCTACGGTGGAATAACTTTTTCTGAAGCCAGCTTGAAATTCAGGAATCTTATCACGCAGGGTCGCCCATTTTGAAATTATATTGTTTAATATTGTAGTAAATACTTTTCCTAAAATGCTTATTAATGAAATACGTCTATAGTTATCTGGGTCACTCCTGTCTCCTATTTTATGCAGGGGGATTATTATAGAACATGACCAATTGCTTGGGAAAACTCCATTTTGAAATAGCTTGTTAAAACATTTGCAAAGAAAAGGCATAACTTCAAACTTAGAACACTTCAACATTTCGATTACTACATCATCAGGACCAGCTGCTGTTCCTTCTTGAGGTGATTTATCGCATCTAATATTTCGTTTTCAACAATGGGTGAATCAAACAGAACTTCATCAACATCCGTGTAGCATTCACTAAAATAATTTTGCATATCATCAGTTGCCATAGTGAATATTGCATCATTTGAAAAAACCTTCTTAAAATGACTAAGCCACTGCGACTTTGTTATGTCATCTGTAGCAGAAGATCTATTCTGAAGAGATCGTACTTGTTTCCAGAACGCAGAAGGGTCGTTAATAGACTTTTTCAGTTTGTCTTGTCTATGTCTACGCATATCGAATTTGTATTTCCAACAGCAACTTTTATATTTATTCCTTCTTTCGCAATATTTTTTTTCTGTCAATACTAGTACGGGTTGTTCTAAATCTTCGCAGCGCTTTGCGGGCGTTACGCCTTGCAATTCTACATCCAGTATTAAAAGTTTTAGTTTTATCCATGTTCAGTTTTAATTTTTTTCTTATACAAGCTGCTGAAGTTAGCATAATTTCAACAAAGTCATCAATTGCCTCCTCAATATTGTTATCAAGTTTATCTAGAAGTAACTGTTTAAAATATGTTATACTTTCTTGTAGTTTGCTTAGAAAGTTGTTCGAAAAGTTCGTCATTCCATATTAGTTTCTTCTCAGTGACACCCTCATATTTTAATTTGGTATGTGTTTGATTCATATGAGGGAACTTACAGGTCAATTCCAAAGGTAAATGATCAGATTCTAGACGATGGTGTGTTTCCAAAGGGGCGTAACTCGTCTACAGGAACACTTCCACCCATTGATTCCCGTCACACACAGGAACACCTCCACCCAGCGGTTACCTTCACATACAGGAACACCTCCACCCAGTGATTACCTTCACATACAGGAACACTTCCACCCAGTGATTACCTTCACATACAGAACCAGTTCCACCAAGTGGCAACCTTCACATACAGGAACATTTCCACACAGTGGTTACCTTCACACACAGGAACACTTCCACCCAGCGATTACCTTCACATACAGGAACACTTCCACCCAGTGATAACCTTCACATACAGGAACACTCCCACCCAGGACACTTCCACCCAGTGATTACCTTCACATACAGGAACACTTCCACCCAGTGGTTACCTTCACATACAGGAACATTTCCACCCAGTGATTACCTTCACATACAGGAACACTTCCACCCAGTGATTACCTTCACATACAGGAATACTTCCACCCTGTGATTACCTTCACATACAGGAATACTTCCACCCAGTGATTACCTTCACATACAGGGACACTTCCACCCAGTGATTACCTTCACATACAGGAACACTTCCATCCAGTGATTACCTTCACATACAGGAATACTTCCACCCTGTGATTACCTTCACATACAGGAACACTTCCACCCAGTGATTACCTTCACATACAGGGACACTTCCACCCAGTGATTACCTTCACATACAGGAACACTTCCACCCAGTGATTACCTTCACATACAGGAACACCTCCACCCAGTGATTACCTTCACATACAGGGACACTTCCACCCAGTGATTACCTTCACATACAGGAACACTTCCACTCAGTGATTACCTTCACATACAGGAACACTTCCACTCAGTGATTACCTTCACATACAGGAACACTTCCACTCCAAGATGCCGACCTGGTGGCGGCTGAGTAGACACAGGTACGGTTGTCAGCAGGAACAGGTGTGAATCCAGGTCTTGTGCACCTGTAAGCCAGAACCTTCCCCTGCTCGTAGCTGTCAAATATCTGCTCCGATCCCCTGGGGGTGCCTGGATCCGGGCACTTCGCAGCTGTTGAATCAAATAAGACAGTCAGATGTGTTGTGCCTAGCTACATGTAGGAACTATTAGATCTCGGGGGACATGTCAAGCACATGCGTATTCCACTAATGAACAGTCTCGAACACATATACAATTCAGTAAGAATGTAATAAATTCCACGACTTTAACACTTGAACAGATTTATTTGTATCCCAAGAAGTTTTCTTTTTTCATAAAGAGCTAAAATGAAAACGCCGACACGGAGAAACAAATCAGTCTGAATTCCATAGGTATATTTTCGTATGACTATTTTTCAGTTACTGCACTACCAGATATAATCAACGCATCAGTGGGGAGAACTTACCTTTGCAGGTGAGATTACCAAACCCCCACCGACCATTCTGCAAACACCTCACAGTGTTGTTATTGTCAGTCGATATTCCTGATGCTGTCGCCCCTGTACTGCAACTGAACTCAAAGGATATCCCGAACGTTGATCCTATCGTAGCAAGGTCTGGTTTCTGAAATCCAGCGATGTCGTCCACAGGTCCACAGTCAACAACTGAAACATGAATAAACATGCATTCATGTATATTGTTACCTTTACTTACGAGAAAACTATCCTCTTGACTTGATCAGGGCCGACTGTTGTTAACTCAAACTCCACTCACCACAAGGAGGGCAAGATATTCAGTGATTTGCGACGACATGAGGTCATTGCCATTAATTCACTGTTATTTCCGAACACCTGGTGTCATCACCATCACTTCACGATCATTCGCGTGAGCAGGTTCTCTATTTTTTCTATGTTCTCTATAAGTGCATCATAATATGCTCCGCTCATTGCATGGCCTTCTGCAAGATGGTCCATCATGAAGGGTGTCAAAACTTTCCACTGCTTTGATTGTTGATGGTGGTGACCCCAGGTTTCATCCAGAGTCACAAATCGTTGCAAGAACCTACCTGGATCATCTTCAAAGAGAGATAGATTATCACGGAACATGTTGTGCCTGTTGCGTTTTTGATGAGATGTCAGAAGCTTTGGAACTCAACGAGCTGATTCTTGCTTCTGTGTCAAAGTGTATGTGATAATGGAATATACTTTATCCTGGGAATGCCTCTTGAACTGACAATATGACGAGTCATTCACCGGTCGGTCATCACAACATTGTTCCTCAACTTTGTCCAATTGCCAAAGGTCACTGACAACCGCCTATGTTACAGGGCTGTCACAGCGAAAAAAATATGCTATACTCCATCTCACTTAAACAGTTTTGGAAATCATTTTGTTAGGCATATGTTTTCGTCTCACGGTCATACTATATCTCACCTGGGCAGATGGGTGAGTCGCCTTGTAAGGTATAATTCTTCGTCTTGCTGTCATAAGCACAGTAGAGGGTCTTGTTGAAGGTGGAGTCACCCTCCTTCCTACACTCTACAACCACCTTCTCCTTGAACGCCACTGCAGTATCCGGATGAATGCGAACAACCCTCTGCTTCTGGACGTCAGTTCCCTGTCTTGTCTGTCCTGGACAAGTGGCAGCTGTGATGATGAGAGCAGACAGAGATATACAGTATCACATTGCTGATGTGAGGGTATTGTGTATGTCTGTCTACCAAAATTGTTTTCAGATAATATATTTAGTTTTTTGGAAAAAGAAGAGGCAATGATGAGTGATAATAATGTTGTCATTGACTGACATTTCTAATGCTGCTGACTGTATGAAATCTATTGTCCCGGATCCCAGCCATGGTTTGATCAAGGATTGTGAATTATTATGTTTGCTAAGAACGTGAAAGACTTCTTATTTTAAACTCTTTAGAAAATATAGAAGTGATATTTTTTACAGTATTGTCTATCAACAAGAAATCGTTTTACATGTACTGTAAGAGAAAAGAGGCGCGTGTATATGAATATGATGGCTGATCCATATAATAGTAGGTCGTTTATACTGTGAAGAGATTTAGGGGTACACCAGCTGTTATCAAATCTAACAGAACATTACAGGAATGGAAGATCTTTTTCCAAAGTATATATATTTCCCACTATAAATCTGATTATATTGATACTTTCGGATATAGTACTCATACTATTGACTCATTTTCTGCAGGAATTTTGGATTTCAAGATAAAATAAGAATAGTTTGAATTCAGTTCTTGAAACATTCAGGAAATGTTCTGTTGCCTTTTCTCACATTAATATTCAACAGGTTGTTCGATTGTGGTGGTTTCCCTACGTCTTTATCTCTTGATTTGATTGTCACATTACATAGAAAGAGAGATTTACAAATAATAATGGAGACATATACTTAAGCAGACTTAATATATCGGTCTTGAATACAAGATTAAACCTTTGGTGTGGTGTTTTCGGAAATGTTTCACTCATAGTTTTCGCCATAGTTATGCTACCGAGGATAATGTATTTATTTTTTCAGTCTGTAATAAACCGCCTTTTGGGGTAGAAAGAGGGTAACGTTTCTGATTTTTTTTATTTATCTGATGTATTCGATATGGTTAATAGGTCTAAATTATGGTTCGTCATAGAACAGAGAGGAGTCTCCCCAAAAATGTTACAGGGTCTTAAGGCTATTTATGAATTTATGTTTGTCTGTTCGTCAGGGATGTGTATTAAGTCCCTTTAGGTTTTCAATATTTTCAAATATATTCAGTTGCATCCTGATTTATCTCATCTTTTTCTTTTGTTCTTTGTCGATGATATGTGTTTTTATTTTTGATGCTGTAACACGTCTTCAAAGACGCATTACAGGAACACTGCAATAAATATAATCTTAGTGTTAATCTAGATAAAAGTAAGATTGTTGTTTTCAAAAATGTATGTGTCCTTCCTCATGGGAGATGTGGTATTTTAGGAAAATTCCTATTGAATGTGTTAACTGGTATAGATATTTATAACCTTCACTAGAATAACAACTTTAACAGTGCTATTTTCCAACCAAAACATCGTGATTTAGTATTTTAAGAAGTTTATGAAACTTTACACCTTTGCCACATGCTGTTTTCTTCAAGGTTTTTTATAACAAAGTCCGTCCACTAATATTGCAACGTGCTGAGGCACGGGCATTGGTTTCAAATATAATTCAAAACTAGAAATTGTTAATATGGTTGCAGCAAGTCCTTTCTTTGTATTAAAATGTCCACTTCTAACCATCTTTGTCGTGGCGAATGTCGAAGATACGCAGTATACATTTATTCTTATAAACGTAGTATCAAATATCGGTGTACCGTTAACTAGTAACAGGAATATTTTAATTAGTGATATGCACTCATAGTTTTAGAACGTTCGTTCTACGTTTGTCTGTTGCAACAGAGACATTGGTTTTGTGGGTTTTTGTAGCATTGCATCAGATATCAGGTCGAATCTCAGCCATCCATAGTGTACGTTTATCAATTACATCGTGCAGAGCCTTTTTTAATATGTATTGAATGTAAATTATGCTGTATTTTGTGTTTATTCAGAATGTGAAAATTGTAGTGTAATGTAGTATCCGAAACAATGTGTAAATTTTATGATGAGCCTGTAAAATTCCCACGATGTTTGCTGTTTGATTTGGATGATTGTACACAAAGTTATAGTCTATCACACGGTGATAAAAGAACACTCGTACATGTGTGTTTTGCATGAGGAGTAATTGTTTTTTTGTTTTCTTGCCGAAGGCTTTTACCAAATACATCCATGCAGATTTTCCTGTACAGACACACTGACGTGCACAAAGGTAATAAAGTTTGAACATGGAATCTCATTTTTGTCCAATATTTGGACTGTGCCTTTCTGTGTTGGATTGATAAACTGCTAGAACCTAGAAGACGTTCACGTTCATTTTATGTATGGAGGAATTACGTTTGTCCCAAAAATGTTATAATATGATGCTGTTGGACATAACCCAAGGTAAAATTAATTGGGTTTCAAAACTTACAAAAATGTCCCTTGGGGTAGGTTTTGGTGAAATTTTGGATAATCAGCAGCGACAGCCTATTGGTTGTTTTATAACAGAGTTGAAGCCACGATTAAAATGAATAGATGAAGTAGACTGACAAGCTTCACTAAAGGGTGGGACAAAAACATTGTCCTAGTCATAGTTTAAATCATCTTTCTATACTGTCTTTATATATTTGATATATAGGCTTCCTAAGGAATACTAAATTCATCCTACGTTAATTATTATGCATTTATGTCTGCTGATAACATTGATATTGTTAGACATTTGGCAATATTTATATTCTATGCAATACAAGTAAGATACAAAAGTGTTCACATGTCAAACACCAACTGTTAGTTTCTGCATTGTAACTGATGTTGTATGGGCCTGTGGCCGACATCCATGATGAATAAAGATGCTGATGATATTGATGATCACGATGATGAGCTGTAAGGATGAGAGCTGACTGACATATACTACAGTCAAGTCTCGTTAATACGACCATCAGATTTATCCGGCACTAATGATTGGAACCGATTAAATCAGTGCTATTTTAACCCGTTAATCCGACAGTCTCCCACCCCGACTCCGACACACCTAATTTGCAATGAATTAACGAAATCGTTAATCCGACACAGTGATACGCGTACTCCGTGGTCATCTGCCCGCGAGTACACAGTCCGGCTTTTAATGCGAGACGAGTCGGCTGGGATAGTACAACGGCTGCAGAGATAAACTTGCCTAACAATAAACAATTAATGTATATCATTACATCAGGCATGTGATAGCTGTAAGGATGAGAGTACACTATTATATACAATATCCCTACATGTGAAAACGACTGACATTATGTTCGGCATAAATTTAAACACTTGTCTTCTACCATAAACAAATATATTTTAGTCTATCATCAGGGTTTCTATGTCAATATGTTACCTGACTATTTTGGTGCAGAGACAGCTATACCAACTACTCACCATTGCAAGTAGGATCAGATCCAGACCAGGTGCCAGTTGCTTGACATGTCCTCTTCTCATTGCCGCCCAAGGAGAAGCCCAGCTTGCAGCTGTACATGATCTCATCCTCGTAGAAGAAGGTCTGCTTCAAAGTGTGTATGACGCCATTGCTGATATCACTTGGACGGGGACATGGGTTCCCTGAAACACGGATGATGTGGACATAAAAATGTGTGTATGACGCCATTGCTGATATCACTTGTACATGTTTTCTTAAATATGTTGATCAGAAGACATTTCGAGGGAATTGATGGAATTAATTTAATCATATTGCTATACATAAAATATTAACATTTTCTTAATTTCACTTTATCAATGACACTGGGTATTAGATCCAACAAACTGAAAAGTAAAAAGTGCTTTATAACGTCAATCAATACTTTTTTGACGTCCGTCAACACCTCACAACATCCGTCAATACGTTATAACGTCCAGCAATACTATATAACATCCGGAAATACTTTGTAACGTCCAGCAATACTATATAACATCCGGAAATTCCTTGGTAACCGTCCAACAGTACTTTATAACGACCAGAAACTTCATAACATCCAACAATACTTTATAACGTCAAGCAATACTGTATACTGTCCAGCAATACCTTATAACCTTCCACCAATACTTTCGTTAACACAGGACACCATTGCCGATAACTATTGAGGTTTTAACTCGCTATCGATGCATGACCATCAGATGCATTAATAAATCGTGTGAATCTTCCATTGCTCCCATATTGTGATTCTTCCAATCACGATCGAGCATTGCATGGACAGCCAGAGAAGCTACTTACGGACACAGGAGTGGCCAACACGGTACACGTCTTGTCGCCTGAGGCCTGTCTCGCCCTCCACGATGTACACCAAGTTGGTTCCATTTTCAAACAGTTTGAATCCGGGGTTGCAGGTACAGGTGTAGGAGCCGGCGGCGTTCTGGCAGTCGTGCTGGCAGCCGCCATTACCGTCACTGCACTCGTTGATATCTGACGAGGACGGGGAGCAGACACTGTCACATGTGTTATTAAAGGCCAGTACCTAACTACTTATGACTAATACCATATGGGCAAAATGCATGATATTCATCATCTTACAGTGACACGCTAAAACATATACATGATAATAATGCAACATAGTGTCAGTGTTGACGTTGCTAATAGTACTTAACGACTTGGACAAGGTGTACATAGTGTAGCAGGCCACGCAGTCCAGTCTTGGACTCCTAGGCTCGTACTGGTATTGTTGTAGTAGTCCAAGGACGTTGAATCTGTAGGACTTTGGACACTAGGATACATACCCACACACGCAGCATGTATTCACTGTCGGTGACAATAACACATTCGGTCAAGGAAATGGAAAAATGAAGACATGTTGGTTTCACATATAAGCAGCAAATGCTTGAAATGAAACACGGTTGAAATGTTTGAGACTCACATTTACACATGTCCACTAAATAGCAATGTTTTCAAAAACCTTCAATGGTAACGAAGTAACTAAATTATGTACATTCCTAAATGTGCACGAACCTTCACATAGTATTCTGTCTCCAGGCCTGTAGCCCTGCCTGCACACACACCTGTAGGAGCCGACAGTGTTCTCACACCTCTGGGAGGAGGCATCACAAGGAGACGTAGTACACTCATCAGCATCTGAAGTGAACAGGTCACAAATGGAATTATGCTGTTTCGAAAAAGGCAATGAACATTAATATCCCCTTTGAACAAAAAATGTCATCCCGTGAAAGACATGTATAGAAATATTAGAGACGAAAATGTTATGTTTCCGCACATGTGTGTATATATATACATTTTCACTGCGTTCTTGTTCCAGAATTCCTGGTGTCTTTTGCGAATACCTGGTCTCATCACTATTTGCTGGGGACTCATACACAATTACTTAATGACATAATCGGAATTGTACAATGGACTCGGGGTCAGCAGGTTTTCTGCAAGGCGTAGGAACATACATATACCTTAAGTTGATGGATTGCAGAAGAGATGTAGAGTTTGTATGTATGAATGCTTTGTTGTGCTGAATTGACGTTGTGTCTGCTAGTTTTGACACAATGGGATGATTCGGAGAAATCTTTGTCCGAAGGTACTGACATACGTATACTCTGGTGAGGAATGTGTGATGCCCTTGACAAATCAGCAAGGCATAGAGTCTTCTTGGTATAGCTGAGAACTGACAAAACATTTTTTCCAACATTTTCTTTCTGTTTATTTAGGATTAAATAAGTTTTTACGCATGTCTAGAATCGGGTCGGTTTCCCTGATGGCCAGCTTCTGCACGATACAATATAAATGATGTGCAGAAAGAGTTCACGATAAAAAATAACTGATGTCTCTGTGCAAGGTCTGCTTGTCACATTTTATAGGAGCTCTGTAATCAGGAAGGGTTGTGTCCCTTAGCAATGCAAGACACCTGTGAACGAACATATGTTTCTGGATTCGTCATCACAGGTCTGTTCTTTTTACCAAAGTGGTAAACGTTCAAGAGCTTCATCACGCCCTCCCCACTCCCTGTCCTCCCTCTTTCCCCCTCCTCAACACACTCATCATCTGACACGTTGTAATATAACTGACGTAGTGTTCCAATGACATTAAACTCGCTCACCTAATTAGGAAAAAGACGCTTTGTGAAAGAACATGTAGAATTGCAGAATGTAATATGTTTGAACATTTAGACGACATGGGCATCACATGGGCATCACATCCCGGCTTTGTATGGTTAAACCAAACAGTTGGTGATGTCAAACAATTTCGTGAACAATCTATAAATATGTTTTATCAGGAATGGCATTCTACTTTAGAAACCAGTTCAACGTATGACTTGTATAGAACCTTTAAGATTCTTATTCAACCAGAAAAATACTTATCTACATTAACATCAAGAACCGTTCGAAGTACATTTATTCAATTTAGGCACCGTGACGGATTGTTATATCTTATGATCAAATAAGGAAGAAAAATTTCCACTGAAAAGTCGAAGAGGCTGTGCCCATTATGTCATTTAGCTATTGAAAATGAAATTAATTTTACTTTTGTATGTCCTTATTGTTGTGATCTAAGAAGAAAGTTTATACCAGAACGCTATCTGCTTTTATTTCTCTTCTTTCTTCGAAAGATGATGCTGTCATATTAAAACTGGCTATATATGTTAAAAATGCAATTTCCCTCAGAAACAAATTGTTAAACATGAGTATGTATCCAAATGTGTAAAACTACTTATTTGTAACTCTTTTGTATGTGGAACGGAGGCCGCACATGCAATAACTACCTTTGTTGACAGATACGGGTTGTAAGTGTTGATATATAGTGTGATTCCGTAACTGTCCGAGGAATGAGGAGTAATAATGTGGGTAGGTATTCTTAACTTCTGACCAAGCATTTGTGGGAACAAAAACATCGTACGGAGTATATATATATCTTTCTAATAGGATGTAATAAATATATGTTTGTGCTTCAGACAGTATGTGTTCGATCATTGGTCCCTTGATTTTGATTCAGTGGTTTTTATATTTGCGTTGCATCTTGTTTCAGTACGTTCAAATATGTGTGCCTGTCTGCTTGTTGGAATATTCGCTTTCCCGTGTAACTTAATATGGATGAACACAGATGTTATTTTTGTTTTCATCAGAACCACTGTCACAAGATAACGGTATCCTCCATACACACCCACACACGTGACGTCATCAAACGCGCCGTTTGCGTTACAGGTAAGGAGGGCGGTGGTTGTGTTTGTCGTGGAGGCCCAGTAGCCAGTGGAACACGTCAAGGTCACATTGTCGTCGAAATCAGCTGGCTGTTCCACTTTCAGTGATCCCATTGTAACTTGTGGAAGAGGACATTTTATCCCTGAAAAACAGATATAAGATATACCTTGATTTACATCAATAATCAGATTGTGACAACGTGTGGCATGTCTAAATGTATTGGAAATGACCAATATTCGGTGATTAGCGTTATATGGCATTGTATTGTTAAACAATGATTGCAACTGTATTACCTTGTTCCTGTTGAGATTCGCTAGAAGCCAACTGCATTGTATCTGGACAATGATTAGTTGTCAGGAATGTAGTACTGTTTATTATAAACAGTGGTGAAGAAGTTTTAGATGATATTGTGATGTGCCTCTCGTATCGCTCATATTACATTTCACCAAGAACAACTTTCGTGTGAAGGTCATTTTTCGCCCTAGATTCCCTGCCTTGACCTTTCTCGGAAGCTTAACCTCTCTTCTTTACTCCGTGGTTTGTTTTTACTGATCACGTACATCAAAACAGCTGTATTGATAATGTGGTTCTGATTTAGTTGGTTCCATTTGATTTGGCATCATTGCGCAGTTGATAAACTCGCACCTGTTGACACGTGACAATGCTTGGTGTTTATATGCTGAAGCTATTGTTTTGGCTTCACCAGTGATCACTATCCCACTACCCTTAAATACTTACAAACTGGTCTATGGGTATTATCAAAGATAACAAAGGTGGCAGTAGAGACTGTGGTAAATGTATTGTAGTAAGTATCAATCGCAACAAATGGTTGAAGTGCTTATAAAATTACGTGTGCTCTCTACGTAACGAGTTTAGAGTTTAGAGTCACCACTCTTGTATACATGGATATGGCAGCCTTAATCATTTGAGAAGTTTCAGGATGAGATTGTTTCTAGAAGGCTGGCTGTACCCATACAAGTGTAAGAAGAGGGCGATTCGAAGGATCTTATCTTCTCTTCTTGCCAAGTTCGGAATAGATACGTCTTTGAAAACTCTAAGTTCCTGCCAGTTCCCAACACTATACCGGACTCAAGGCTGTTTCAAAACATCCACGGAGACAAAAGTCGTGAGTGCACTTACATTGTTAATATGAGGTCTTGTTACTTACTGTTGCTACCACTTATTGTAACCATTGTGTTGTTGCCTTTTAGATTCGAAACTCAATTTCAAAATAGTTTCAATTTTATATATATATATATATATATATATTATTCATTGAACCTCTGTAGTCGTTTACTAATGTCACTATTCAGTTTTTCTCAATTTGGAAATCCCTTGGGAACACGTACTTGCATAAGATATGGGGAGATATTCATACTGCAGCTTCAGATGGTGTTAAAATGTCATTATCTATACACACCAGCGGTAAATACTGACACGGCTTGACGTGAAAGTTCCAGTATTTGTCTGTCGACATAGTCAATAGTACGTTCCCATGTAGGGACGCTTCCGATATGCTTACTTTCATAAGTGGAGGCAGTATTGATATACACTTACTTACTCTCACAAGTGGGGGCGGTATTGATGTACTCTGTACTTACTCTCACAAGTGGGGGCGGTATTGCTATACTCCATACTTAATGTCACAAGTGGTGGCGGTATAGATATATACTCTGTACTTACTCACACAAGTGGGGGTAGTATTGATATACTCTGTACTTACTCTCACAAGTGGGGGCGGTATTGGTCCACGTGTTGGTGGTGTTGCAGAGTCTGCGGGATGATCCTTTAATCTCAAAGCCGGCCCTGCACGTGTATTCCACGATTGCCCCGTAGGAGGTTGCTTCTGTGCTGGTGATGATGTTGGACGTAGCATCCGTCACAGGAGGAGCTGGACCACACTTGGCGGCTGAGGGGGAACACAGGATCATTTGTATTGTAGTGAGTGGCGTCAATAGGTTAAGGTGTAGCAACCGGGCTTGAACATGCTGCATCAGTTATGTATTATGAAATTATATATGTCAATGTTGTGTACACTATTGTAACGATACTACCCTGTCAACCTGTAGAATTGAAGTAGGTACCATTTCAATGAATGTGTCAATGAATGGTATTCGTATAGATGCCAATATTTACAACCAAATGTCACCTAACTGTAGAAGGATGTGCAAAGATGTGTCAAACAAAGATTTGTTGTTATTAGTCAAACATTATGTATCATTTCGACAGATACGTACATTCACACGTGGGTAGCGTCATCCACTTTCCGGATGTACTGCACGTCACTTCCGGTGTCCCATTCATCGTGAAGCCATTGTAGCATTCATAGACAGCTGTACTGTTATAAATAACGTCGCCACTGTAGTTCTTCACGAACCCAAACTCAATGGCATCCGGGGCTTCACAGTATACCACTGCAATAGACCCAGTCAACAAACATTAGGGGGGGAGGGGGGGGGGGGGAGATATCTTGCAGACGTCAAGACATGCTGACGCGAATGAGACAATTTACCAATTCATCAAAAGTGTTATTGATGCGACACACCAATCAGATACATTGGTAACAAAATGTGCAATGGAGGTCTCCAAGCAGGAACTACGTTTTGTAAACTTCTACTACATACAGAAAGAGGGTTGCAAACAATTTTGCATGTAATTGTAAATGGGGCGATGTAGTCAAGTATCGTATTCCAGTTCAGTTTCGAAAGTAAATTCAGTAAATTAAATACATCTCTAACTTCGACAGGGTTAAGGCTGACACTACAGGACATCTAATTCTTGCAAATTTCCGTTTGGTGAATAGCATACATTAGGAACGGCATGGAACTGCCTACGCTGCTTGGTTTGTTTTGGTATTTTTTTGTTTAACAACTCACTCAGCAATATTCCAGCTATATGACGCAGTGTGTAAATAATCGAGTCTGGACCAGACAATCAAGAAATTTACGTCATGAGCATCGAACCATGCAATTTGGATGCGATGACTTGCATGAACCAAGTCAACGAACCTGACCACCCAATCCAATCATTCGCCTATTACGACAATCATGTGTTGCTGAATCCTACTCTGATAGACACCATGTGTCATAGAGATATCTATTCTGACAGATATAATGTGTGATACGGCTGCCTTCCCCGATAGGTAATGTCTCATAGAGCTACCAACTCTGACAGGTACCATGTGTTATAGGGTTACCAACTCTGACAGGTACCATGTGTTATAGGGTTACCAACTCTGACAGGTACTATGTGTTATAGGGTTACCAACTCTGACAGGTACCATGTGTTATAGAGCTACCAACTCTGACAGGTACCATGTGTTATAGGGTTACCAACTCTGACAGGTACTATGTGTTATAGGGTTACCAACTCTGACAGGTACTATGTGTTATAGAGCTACCAACTCTGACAGGTACTATGTGTTATAGGGTTACCAACTCTGACAGGTACCATGTGTTATAGAGCTACCAACTCTGACAGGTACTATGTGTTATAGGGTTACCAACTCTGAACAGGTACCATGTGTTATAGAGCTACCAACTCTGACAGGTACTATGTGTTATAGGGTTACCAACTCTGACAGGTACTATGTGTTATAGAGCTACCAACTCTGACAGGTACCATGTGTTATAGGGTTACCAACTCTGACAGGTACCATGTGTTATAGAGCTACCAACTCTGACAGGTACTATGTGTTATAGGGTTACCAACTCTGACAGGTACCATGTGTTATAGGGTTACCAACTCTGACAGGTACTATGTGTTATAGGGTTACCTACACTCACACCACAGTGTTACTTACCCCAACAGTGTTACTTACCCTGACAGGTGGGGTATCTTGGTTTGTCCCATTTTCCTCCTTTCTCACATACGAAAGAAACAGTATCTTTTTGATAATATTCCTCCTGTTGGAACGAGTATCCAGTGATGCAGTTGACAGTCACGGAGCTGAGATAGGATGTAGCGGATGATGTTTTTACCATATTTTCCGAATCAGGGACAGCCAGGCAATCTAGCAAAATACAAATTAAGGGTCAATGATGTTTAAAGAAATCTCCAAAACTTGGTATGTGATTCACACTGTGGGGAATGCATGCACAGTCCTGGGGAACGCAAGGTAGAGATTAAATATATGATTCTTCAGCTGCAGCTACAAAAGCAGATTATTTTATTATTTGTAACTATGAGCATTAATATATTTGCTACAATGTATTTTAGTAGCAGGCAATTCAACATTCTAAAGCATAAATATTGTCTTCAAGAATGTGCGGGACAATTAATTGAAATCGCACCATTTTAGTATCGAATCGATATTCTGTCTAATCTCAAGATCGTTGTGAAAACATCTGAAAATGATCAAGGTGATGATGATAAATAAGTAAATAGAGGTACCTGAATTTGACTGGAGCAAGAGCAACGTATCAATGTATTACTTTCAGGAAAGTAGTTCGTCATTATCTGACCTAGGTCATCACCATGGAGTAGCCAATCACAGACATCTCACACATGTTTCTCACCAGCTCTCCCAAATGTGTTTCTCGCCATCAGGTGTGTAAGAAACGTAATGTTTGTAAATGATGCTCACCTATAGAGAACTCAAACTGGAATCCTCCCTTGTCCTGAATGAGGCTAGACTTGAACCTGATGTAGAGAGTGTTGCCTCCGTTGACGCTGGGAAGAGATGACGTTAGATCCCCTGTGTACCCGCTGCCCGTATGGAGGAATCCAGCCGAGGCGTTGGAACCATTGTATATCTGGCGTATAGTGAGAACTTTCATTATGGTTTTGAAAAAGTACATACGTCCCATCCATGTTCACAAAACATGTATCATTGTGCAGTTATAGTTTTACAATATTTGCTATTTCCAAAGTGAAATCAATTTCAATATAAGAAGGGCGTACCTCGATTAGATCCTTGCCAACGGTCTCCAGAACAAGGTAGAGGAACTTGACCATGAGGTTCCTGTTTGCATCACTCGGGGCCTGAATCTTCCAGGAACAGGTCAGTGAGGTCGGGTACCTCTTCCTGCTGAATCCAGGTGAGGTCACTGTGCCACTAGCTGCTCGTATATCAACGTTGCATCCTGTAGATGAATGACACATAGATTAAGAGTTTACCTCTTGGTTAGAACATGACTGAATCAATTATGTGTCTATTGTACCACTAGCTGCTTGTGTCTCAACCTCGCATATGCAGATGAATGTCACATAGATTTAGAGTTTCCTTCTTGGTTAGAACATGACTGAATCAATGCTGTGTCTATTGTACCACTAGCTGCTCGTATCTCAACGTAGCACCCTGCAGATGAATGTCACATAGATTTAGAGTTTACTTCTTGGTTAGAATCTGAATCAATGCTGTGTCTATTGTGCCACTAGCTGCTCGCGTCTCAACCATGCATCCTGCAGAATACGGATATAGAGTAGATAATAGATTCAATGGTCGTGAATGTAGTATACGCCTACTCTACTCACTGATATGCACACAATGTTTAATGTGACCCTGGACACAACCTACCATTCTTAACCCTTAGTTTGATGCCACTTCCTCCACCAGATGTGTCTTTCCCTTTCAGGATAATCCGTATTTTACTAGCGGTGGAGAAATAGATGGCTGGTGAAGAGAGATCCGCACGCCTGGAGGCCATCAGCAGAGTATCGTCATACCCTTCACCATTGTACACCATCAACATCCAGTCAGGGGCGAGGTCAACTTCCTCCACCTGAACAAAACAATTTATATATATATATCATTTTCAATAATGTCCTTGATTTCCTTCAGACGAACTTGTTCACCAATATCATGCTGAAATAGATATTGTTTATTTTCTTATCCAAAATGATACAACTGTGCTTCATCATTTCCTTTTGAAATAACTTGAGCGTAAACCACCGACGTACACACTGTTTACATATTACGTTGATGATTTTGTTGTGTATGTGATCAACTTTACCATGAGAGTGACAATGGTATTGTCTGAGCTGGACACCAACCACTCCAGTCGGAAGCCGCTGGGCGGGGTGCTGGGGAAGAATGGGGACGTCAAGTCTGTCCACGATGACCCAGCTGTGATAGGGCGGACGTCCGTAGAGAGGGCACTGGTTGCTGCGAACAGAATTCAGAATTCTGGTACAGTTGATCTCGCAAGTATTTCATAAATCATTAGGTAGTGTGAATGCTATACACATTGCTGCACAAATCCTTGACGTATTATCCACACAAGACTTACACGAGGACCAGGTGAGGTCGAAACCAAAGTTTGTAACGGAAGAGTCAGATGTAAGACGCAGCAGCATCATGTTGTTGGTGCTGTAGATGACCTTGTTGTCCAGACTGCCTGTCAGTGTCTCCAACACTCGGGTATCCTGAATCGTGTGGCCTCCAACCCTCACTTCCAGCAAATCCACCTTGTCTTCCAGGCGCACAGAGCGGAACTGAAGGATGAAACACACCAGGATGCAAATCACTCATGCCATGCATCTCCACTTTGCCTGATTACAAAAGGTACCTGGCGATTCTAAGCTGCACACTGCACCAACATGTTCACCATATTTCATAACAAGAGCATTAAAGAACATGCACTGAGTTCACCACCAGCATTGACTACAAACTCTTGCCTACCGTGACACCAATCTGTGTTCCAGGAGGAGAGATGATGGTCCACATGCAGTAAGCGTTGTTGGCGTAGCCACTGAAATAGTTGATGCTGCCACTAGTGCCGGTGTTTGTAAATGTACATTTGGAACCTACAACATAATCGATGAAATGTCACAAAATGTTACCTCATAAGAAACTAACATTTTTTATTGTATAATGTAACAGTGAAAGAAAACTAGTTTATTGTAAGCCTTACAAAGGAAAACCTTACAATGTGTTATATCAGTTATCAGAACATATTGTTCCTAAAGAGTCTGTCACATGACGTGCATAAATTCGAAGATGTGTCCAGGCGTCTAGTGAGTGGCACTGCATCTATGCTAAGTGGATATATGTAACACCTGACGTAGTTGCAGTACATTCTGTTCATGGTGCCTGCAGGTTTCCTGTTGACATGTTTCAAATTTATTATGTCTCTGATGAATAGCGGAAAACACATACTTGCATTGCAGCCCAATCACGACCACATTTGCCTCTGTGTCATTACCACAAGTGTAAATTATGTCTGCTTATTGATGTGTTTATGCTGGTGAAACAGATAATGTTGTGAGACAATGGAAGACGCAGGGAGGGGCGCAACAGGTGGACTCCATGGCCAACTCTTGCTTCACACAACACCCTGCACGATACATCAAAACATACAATCTCTAGGAACGTCAAGGGATTATTTTTTATGTATCTACAGTTAGTGTCACTTACTGCAGTTCATTTCGTCCCTGTTGTTGTCGCAGTCACTGATGCCGTCACACTTCCACTTGTTGTTCAGGCAGCTGCCACGTCCACAATCGAAAGAACCTGCAATTTACACAAAACACCTTAGCCTATATTCCTAGAATGGAGTTTGACCGCTCATTGACCAGACTTGCAGACATGTCTATGGTTATGTGTTGGAAAAGTGTTTTGGATTAGAGGGTATACGTTAATAGAGAGAACAAATGTTGTATTGTTTAAGTACGGAAGGAAACATACCTTCTAAACATGATGGATTCTTGCAAAAGAAAGGAAGACGTCTCTGACATGGGACAACCTTCCAGCGACCGTTCTTCTGTACAGCTGCACAATCTCCTGCCCTGACACTGGCTGGGGGCTCGTTAACCTCCCAGTAGCCCTTACAGGAATCTGAGGTCAGGGGAAACACGTTAACCATGTTTACTTAACCTCCCAATAGCCCTGACAGGGATCTGAGGTCAGGAGAAACACGTTATCCATGTTTACTAAACGTCCCAGTAGCCCGTACAGGAATCTGAGATCAGGAGAAACACGTTACCCATGTTTACTAAACCTCCCCGTAGCCCTGACAGGAATCTGATCTCAGGAGAAACACGTCATCATGTTAACTTCTCAATAGCCCTTAACTACAGTAATCTTGGATCAGGAGAAATTCATTTCCAATTTTTACTTGTTCTAACATATCTGCATTTCTGCTGATGGCAACTTGTACATTTCAATGTTTTAAAGTCGTTCACGCGATTATACCAGCATCACAGATCGTTAATGTGTCAGATCATACTGTAATCTTATGTTTTTTGTTCTCGTATTCGAAGCAGGCTAATCAGAAAGCTATACCAACACACCATTGAAACACAAGACAGGATACTATCTAACACATGGTTTACTTGATCTGTAAAGAACATTGATAAGTGACAATTACACTTGCTGTTGCTTACCATTAATCTTTTCTCCGACCCAAAACATGTCCCAGTCGGCAGCCATATCAACCAAAGCTTTGTTTTCTACCTCATCGTGTATCTCCAAAGGCATTCCCTGTTCTCTGTTATAAAGCACATATGTCAAAACCTCTTGTTCTGTTGTAAAACAAGTATGTCAAAACCTTACTGTTCTCTGTTGAAAACACATGTGTCAACACCTCCCTGTCCTTGATGTTGTTTCGACTGGTCTCGTATAATGTGTTATGCAACTGAGACAATGTGTCTGCAATAATGTTTACAATATATTGCATTTACAGCACAACTACATACATACCGTCACATACACCCCAGGACGACGCTAGAAGCCTGAGATAGGTCAAAGTGTTTTAGGGCAAAGCCTATATAAATATTTCTAAAGTTGAAAACATCCCTCAGTCTACCTTTCACAGAGTTCCTTTGCCTCCTCCCATTCCATCGCCTTTGATACTTTGAGGTAACAGCTGGCTCCATAAAAGGTCCATCCTGCAAGACAGAACATATTAAATAATATTTTTAGACAACGGGTGTTGAATGACATAATGCTTGTGATACAACCATTAAAAACAGTTTTCGCTTTCTGCACTGAAACTCAGACGCCATGTACTGTAACTCCAGCCTCACGTGAACAGCCTGGACAGAATTAGAACTCTTCTCCACTGCTCATGTGGCGGGAGCAGTATTGTTAGTTTTCCATATAGTATACGCACTTGTTGGATATTGGGAAGTAAATATCAATGATATCAACTATCAGTAACTGTTATCATTAATATTACTATTGTCACTATCCAGCCACCAAACAGTTTTATCACAGGAACTGTTACAAATCTATGTTAAATTTAAATGAGTTTTGTCTGTTGTACCAAATGTATCGGCGGATAATCTGGATTCGTCGATGGTGTTTGCGTTTTACAGCATACTTGGCGCAACAACCATGGTAGGTCCATGTTAAAGGTTTAGAGTTCATATCATTCTGTACAAATGTATCCAGATACCTTCCTGATCCCCATTGCTCCTGCTTATCTCGGCAATGATCTTTCTTACATCAGTATGGAAGATTTAAAAAACTGTAGAGGTCAACAGAACCACAGCATTAAAACATTACAATGACAAATCACCGTGTCACTGGGGGGTTTGGGGGGTAAGTTCCAGCTGCAACTGTCTTACATAAAGTTTCTCTGCGTCTCATCCAGGAAGATGCTGGAGTCGGACTAATGACGTCCTGACACTGAGCCGCAACTAGGTACAATGACGTGATAACGACCATATGCACACGCTTGCCCATTAGAGTCGATTTCTTTTCATTGTATTTTACAATACAGAGACAGGAATCACTTCATTCACCCCGGCAGTATGTCACGAGCTTGCAATCAGTTGTCACTGTCACAATAGTTAGGGCGGATGAGGAACTTTCACGGTGCACAGAAGACACAGAAAAGCATGAACTCGAGTTTGAATCCAGGACACGTCTCGGAAATCAGTCATTGTAACACGGAAAGGGAAAGTAACTGGGGTGTTCCATTCGTTTACTCCTTGTATCGGAGGAGGAAATACTGCATGGCAGTTCTGGTCAGAGTGTTCTCATTGAGCAGCCAACCAGATACAACAGCAAAGGGAATAGCACGGACATGCAATCAATGAGATGATTCTCCGGTGTTTAATGGACAGGAATGCACTCTTTAGCACTTCTCGATGCCAACGTGATCTCAGCCTCGGACTGGAATTGGCATTCACAAACAGAAAACCTAAACTATGATTCACGAGCAGGAGGACAGACAGAACATGTATCGAGGCATAAACCATAAAACCTAGTGTTTACACTTCGACAGAAAATTGAATGATTCATACAGTTTGCACATCGGTGGTTCGATTCATACCTCAATGTGCCGTAAATAATACAGTCAGTCTATCCGTAACACTAGAACCTGCTTTTCATATCACCGCCCTGTGTATCTTAGTAACATTGCAAAAATACAACACGATTGCTCCTACGAAGATAACAAAGGAAGTCCTATAACTGCACTGAGTAAGGTATGATTTACAACTAATATAAGTATTTCTGTCAGCCTATGTCAGGTATATCTAGGAAACACAGTATTTTTTTCCAAAGGTTGTCAGTATTTCGACGGGTTGTGTTTTTTGAAATGCGTAAATAGCTGAGTAATTTATTTTTTTCTCGATTTTAATAGGTTAGTGCATCACATATGTGTTAGAGAACGCTTGTGCGCTAGGTGGTTTTGTGGTAAGAAATCAATTCAGAACAACTTACAGGAAAAGTGAGACCGCTGAAACATCCTACATCTGGGGTTAACAGGGTTGACCGGGATGTCCCGCACTGCTGATAATACACCAACCAGCACTATAACTAACCGCTCTCTCCGCGCTATAACCAACCACTCTCTCTGCGCTATAACTAACAACTCTCTCCACGCTTTAACCAACCGCTCTCTCCGCTCTATAACTAACATCTCTCTGCGCTATAACCACCCACTCTCCCCGCGCTAAAGAAACCACTCTCTCCGCGCTAAGCCACCCACTTTCCGCACGATACACAAACCACTCTCTCCGCGCTAAACCACCCACTCTCCCCGCGGTACACAAACCACTCTCTCCACGCTAAACCGCCCACTCTCCCCGCGCTACACAAACCACTCTCTCCGCGCTAAACAACCCACTCTCTCAGTGCCACACAAACCACTCTCTCCGCGCTACGACAACGACTCTGCGCGTGGTTATCCGATGTAGTGGAGATATTTTTTTTTTACTGTTTTAGTATATTGAAAACTTTGCGTCAGTCAGATGAACATGCCATACATGTGTACAAAGTGAGAAATCATTTTCCTACTGTAGCTCGACAATAGTTATTTTTCCACTTTTTCGGCGGTTTCGTAGCCGTATACGTAAACAACAATAGGCTGTGCCTCATGGCATAAGTATACACGCGTCACACGGGTAAGTCGGCCCCTGAAGACCCGGGTAAGTCGGCCCCTGAAGACCCGGGTAAGACGGCCCGTCACACGGGTAAGTCGGCCCCTGAAGACCCGCGTAAGACGGCCCGTCACACGGGTACGTCGGCCCGTGAAGACCCGGGTGAGAAAAGGTCTTCAGCAATCTCTGCTTGTCACAAGATGCGACGCTGCTTGACATAAGAGGCGACTAACGGGGTCGGATGATCAGGCTCGCTGACATGGTTGATGCATGTCATCGTATCCCAATTACGTGGATCCATGCTCATTATATCATCCACTGGATTGACTGATGCAAGCTCGAATATTTACAGACTGCCGCCATATGCTGGACTATAGGTGAGGGCGACGTCAAACAAACAAAAATACTATGTCGGGGAAGGATTATAATACAACAAATATTGACATTAATTCTTGACATGTTAACAGCGGCACCGTGTATATTGCACACACGCTAAAATGCGCTGTGATACATAGTCTAGGCGTGTCCTCTATTGACAAAGTGTAACCTTCCTTCGCACATATGACGAAGCACTTATTAATCAGCTCAGAAACGAAAACAAATATTGGACCACGATTTTAGATATAACAAAACATGGATCAATAAAACTCCACACATCTGGAGATCATGTAACGTACATTTTTGTAAGTAAATATTGTTTCACGACATCTGCATGCCTTCAATATTCGTTTGTTTAACCGGTCTTGTGAAAGCGTATACCTCAGGTATCTCTGTAATACAACATTGGCCTCGACATAACCATGGAAGATAGTATCCATTGCACTTTTTCAAAACCATTGGATTTGTCATTCAGAGACGGGGCGGTCGGGTAGCCTAGTGTTTAAAGCGTTCGCTCGTCACGCCGAAGGCCCGGGTTCGATTCCCCACATGGTTACAATGTGTGAAGCCCATATCTGGTGTCCCGCGCCGTGATATTGCTGGAATATTGCTAAAAGCGGCGTAAAACCATACTCATTGACACACTCATTCAGAAACACATTTTCTTGCCATTGACATTGTACACAACGGATGTTAAACTCTTTGTTACCAGTTAGTTTAAACAATATTAATTTCAAACCAACAGCAAAAAACACACACAACTGTGAGTGTGATCTGCAGAATACCAGCTACTCACCCGGAGGACAGACAAGCGTGAGATTGCCTAATGTCTTCGTTGTTTGTCCGTGACTCTAAAATAGAAATAAGTAAAACCAAATCAGGATTAAACGTCAATACGAAGTCGCATACGAAGTGGAGTCAGTTGTGGGAAGACAATGCGTCGTTCTTTCACGTCGACATGACACCTTGTGATGAGGATGAGCACACACAGTTACCCTTCCTAGCTCACCAGTCGACCACCCAATCACCAATCCACCTATCACACACCACCCGATGACCCGTTCACCCGCCCAGCAGACCACCCCACCACTGAGCTACCCTACTGCCTGACCACCCGGTTATACAGCCACCCTACTACCCGATCACCATGACACCCGACCACCATGTAACCCGGCCATCTTAATCCCCGACTACCCGACCACCCGACTTCAATGCCAGCTGACCACCCTACAACTCGACAACCCAGCTACCCGAACACACGGCCACCCTACCACCCTACCACCCGACCACCATGCGACCCGACCACCATGTTACCCGGCCATCTTAATCCCCGACTACCCGACCACCCGGTCATCATGCAACTCGACCAACCAACCACCCGACCACAATGCTAGCCGACCACCTGGCCACCCTACTACCCGGGCACCCGACCATCTCGTATCTTCCCGACCACCCGACCACCTAGCCATCCGCCCATCCAGACATCCAGCCACCCGGCCACAGCTTAGCCACCCACCCGACCCACCCGCTAGCGAACCATCAATTCTATATCAATGTATGATGGTTTGTAGTAAATCTAAACGTCGATAAATCATGTCACCTCGACATTAGCAGCCACCCCGCGTTTGCTGTACCAGACATGTCACATCATATGCTTACAATACTTGATGGTCAACAAATAGCTTGATAAATCCCACCCCTTAATAAACTGATCTTCATAAAAAAAACACCAATACTTCATTCATTGGAGATCGGAAAAAACGTCATTAAGCAAACACATAGAGCCGATCTACAATGATTGTACTAACCGTAGCGATAATTGACATCCCCACGGTGATAAGAAGACGTATATGACCGTCCATGGTGGTGACGAGAGTGAACCTGCGGGAGACCAGACCGTCGAGGTGACAGCAGGGGCAGTCTGATTTCAGTCACGCCCGTGTCATAAACGCCGGATTGAGGGTGTTCTCCCTGAAGAGCACACAGCCTCAAGGGGAACCGAAATATAATCTGCTGACTCAAAAATGAATATGACCGACTTATGGCAAGACCACATGAGCATGAAGTATAGTAGGGTACAACAGGTCACGGCAGTGTAGAATACCTCTCACTGTGAATTCCCACTCTACCTACAGCCAACTGAAGAATAGTTGCTATAGTTACTATAGATGGTTATTCTAGAATATTTAAATTTGCTAGTGATACAGTGGTATTTGATTGACTGGCTAACGAAGCAATTTCATAAGTAGAAAATATACTCAGCCACGCCCAGTAACTCATTACAGTTTCCTGATTGGCTGATACTAGAATGGGCGGGGCGTGTGTTGAATTATTGCGTTGAACAAATGCCACTGATTTCGTAATGTTATCATGCATGATATATATATACGTAATTGATTCAGTGATCAATCTGTGAAGTTGCTAATGTTGGGTTACGCGCAAAAGCACATTTAAGTCAATTCTGAATTCTGATCTTGCTGGCAGGGGGTGGTGTGTTAGTGTATGTTAGTGTGTGTGTAGGGGGTGAAGGTGAGGGTGTGTGTGTGTGTGTGGGGGGGGGGTGGGGGGGGGGCGGGGCTGTACAATAAGCTGTGCAGAGTCGCGTCCCTTGGGCACGCCAGAAACCTAGGAGCGTTGGTTCGAATCCCGGTTCACCCCGATTAAGTTTCTAGGTTTATCAGCACCATACCCATGTCTTTGAGTGAGACTTATAAGGAAGAGGATTTGTTCATTGCTAATCACCTATATCGGCGCAAATCAACTGTTGGCTTCCCTTGTAAATGTTCCACCTCTGTTACCGTATTACATGTGTTGTTACAGATACATGTTTATGTTCTCTGTTTTATAGCATTCATTCACCTGGTGGGGGAGTAAGCATACACTTCGAAACGTTGTGTTCCTCATAATAAAGAAGTTGACATCCGTAAATTCTCCTCCTTACCGTACCGATGGTTGTGGGTTTCGCTAAAGTGATAAACGGGTGAGACCTGAATCACTTTTGGCTTTCCTCCCACATTTAGCTGACACGCCGGGATATAACTAGAATACTGTTCAGTTCAAAGCGGCGTTAAACCACAATCACTCACTTTCTACAACCGTGGTGATGTTCCCACCATACCGTGTTTGCAATGTATAGCTATGTTAACACTAATTTGGATCGGAACGCGTGGGGTGAGGTTTCACGTAATATCCAGAGAACTGATTTGAATTAAGGAAACACTGATAGTTCATTCAAAACGCCTTATATACTCAAATACTTGCTGCATTCCGGAACGAGGAATGTCCCATTACTTATGGGAGAAGCATATTGTAACTAATATATACTCTCCGAGTTGTACAGTATTTATGCTTATGATTAGCGACGGTCGCATACCTACATTATAAATGAATATCCCATTGATTAGGCTCTTGCGAGAGAAATAGATGCCCCCAGATCCCCCTAGTTAACTCAGGCACTGACGTCTCATATTAACGGTATTCAAGTGGGTGGTGCCTTCTCAAGTATTTAGTCTCAGCTACGCCCCTGTTAAAATCATAGGATACAATTATAACATTATCAAGCGTGAATTCGTTAGCAGTCGGGGAGTATTGAATAAATATAGTCTTTTCCCCGTCTTCATATTGTCTTCTTTGAAATCCTCGCATTACGAGCATGCTTAATTGTACCTAAACAAATATGATACATGTAGGTATACACACGATGCTGGGATATTGCTTGACACAATGGGATCGTTGACCATTGACGTATTTATTATCTCGTGTGTTGTAAATTACATTCACTGCAAGAAACACAACATTTAACATGTCAGGATGAAGATCAAATGATACCATTCCACTTGTCAGGGGGGCACACAATGTACTGATCTAGACTACCAGTTGTCAGAATTCCGTTTTTGTGGCTGAGTGGGTTAGATCCCTGATTTCGTGTGCTGGCTTGTAGGTGCCTCACACTGAGAGTGTGGGCTGGAATCCCAGATTGGACTCATCCCCCCAATAAGAGTACTAGAATTTGTACTAAGAAAGTGTCATTCCAAATATTACATTTTGTACCATTCATTCGGATGATTTGTTGCCTTTCCTTCAGGAACCATTGGGACAGCACAAAGTGAGATCAAGACGATACACTGTGTCATGAAAGAAATCTGGCGCCTCCAGCAACTTGTGCTGATTGATGGAGCTAACACTGTCGACTGTAGAGTATAAGTCTGTTACTATACTTGAGAGGATAGGCTAGCACTTTGAAACGTTTGACCAAACGAGAACAGACTGCCTTAATCAGGCAAAGACTGCTGCATGTTCGTTAATTTGAAATTTGAAAATAAAAGAGAATAGATGCCATAACATTATGAGACAAAAATCATTTTCCTAAAATGTTCCACAATAAGCAAATTTAAGGAACAGTTAAAGTTTTCTATACGAACACCATTTTGTACAAGTTGTTAAATTATAGAGTCGTACTTCAGAACGTGGGCCTGGCAGCTCATGGCACTTATAGAAGCCTACTAGTGGATACAGGACTTAACTACACATTGCTATGGTAATAAAGTAAAACAAACACTGTGCCAGAACAACATATGTAACTTCTTTATAATTTTTTATCAAATATGCAGGCTTTGTAACAGCAAAGAACAACACATATACATCCCTACAATGAAATTGCAATATGCCCAGTTGGAAAATTCAAGGGCTAGGTTAAAATTCCACAAAACGTATGTTAATACCTCGAAAAAAGAGAAACAACATAAACTGAATATATATGTACCCTTTCAAATATAATGACATTATACACAAACAGGGGATTAAAGGATCAATAGACGTCATTGCATGGTATATGGTTGTATGTTGCAAATATACAGATGGCTACCGAGCGCCTGGCAGACTCATTTCTGTCATTGATTGTATACAATAACAACGATTAGACAGACGTTGGCTGTATTACCAGCCAGTCAGGCTATTATCCTATTTGTATCAAGATTATTCTATAGGATATATCAATGGAACATACGTGAGTAATGCTATATGGGAGGCATCATGGGTATATATACTTGCATGTTATCTACAATGACAGTATGTAGTGACTGATGGACGTATGTGTACAGCTACACGCAGTGCCTGCAGTGACTCTCAGCCTCTAAAGTGTATTTATTTTCCATCATAATCAAGGTTTGGCAGTTATATTGACAGAATAAGTAAACTGAAAACGAACATTACACTAGCGTATGTATACACACGTATGTATTAAATACAATAGCAGGATGACGCAGCAAGAAATATGTATAGAGAGGTCGAATCACTCTATTGGTCTGAAAATCTGCCCCCTGAATTATAGAAGTCGTAGGCCTCATTAAACTCGGGGTTGGGATATTGTATGTATCACTGGGGTGCTGCAAATGGAATGATAAGCGATTTAAGAAGAATGATTCTGCCAAGAGGTGATAGGTTAGCAGTTCACCAGATGGACATCAGCGACTCTCATTGTCTCAGCGTATCGTTAACGTTATATCTATCTTATCATGAAGATTAAGATTCAATTTTATTCCAAGTGGTCAAAATGGGCTCTGATCCCTATTCAGTTTCCATTTGGAACACAGTTTCATTTGTAACGGTTTATCAGCCTGTCCATATCACTCTTGGTTTGTCTATATATGTTCTTTATCCGGAAAATCTTGCAACGTTCTGAACCATCTAAAGTACAATTTGGGTCATCCTGGCGATCTCTTGAAATCAAAGGGAAAGTTGACAATTGGAAAGTTGAAGTCATCCCTCTTGTCATACAGTCTTGTGGAGAGTCACTGTTTGTCACTCTAAAATGATATGCATGCATCTAAATAGGAAACCGATGAGGTCACACGGGTCTCCTTCTATTATAAGTGCATCAATAAACAGATCAGCAAGAAGGAGTGCACAATCGGTGCCCACAGGGATGCCTACTTCTTGCTTAAATGTCTTTCCCCCAAAATATGAATAACCTTTATCAAGGAAGAAGTCCAGCATTTCACATATTGTTTTCTCAGTAAACTTCAGATGCTCTTGTACACATCAGAACTAATTCAAAATGACATACGTTGTTATTAAAATCAGTAATGGTACACTCGTGTCACTAGATTTTCTGGTTCATCAATCACTTGATTGTCAGGTTTGTTTACGGGCTGACGTCACAAGACAGGGGTACTGCTGTGCTGCGTCAGGAAGAAATAAATACTCACTTTTTCATTCAAACTTGGCGGGTGCTACCGGTAGGGCAGGACATGCGTTCCGTTTTTGCGAACACCTGGTGTCATCCCTTATTTTCAGTGGTCCATTCATATCATTTCCACAGGTAGTTGCCCTTTAGGTCAAGTGGAATCTGTTTCGGCAAAAAAATTGAGGCTGTTTTTTCTCTTGTGATCACCCGTGAAGATCCGGGGTGGAATAGGTCTTTAGCAACCAATGCTTGTCGTAAGAGGCAACAAACAGGATCAGGTGTACAGGCCTGCTGACTTGGTCGATTCATGTCATCGTATCCCAATTACGTGGATTGTCTGGTCCAGACCCGATTATTTACACAACCGTCATCATATAGCTTGAATAGTGCGGCGTTTAACAACAGACAAAATCTTGCATTGACAATTTATGTTTACTTGGTCGGCTGATGTTCCTGAGTTTCATTATAAGGTCACTAGCATCAGCAGAGTTAATATATATGAAAAGTTTGTGCCCAGACATTAACACGGCCCGCCAATGTGTTGCAAAAAGATTACCTTCTTTACGTTTTTCTTTAATCAAAAGCAGCCAAACCTCTGCACTTGCACACAGCAGATGTAATTTAAAATTAACATACCGCTTTCATCAGTATCAACAAAGTCAGCAATAAAATCAGATCTTAGTTCATGCTATCGCAAAACAAAGATCTGAGGACATCCCATAACGGGACAAGTCAGAACGACATT